TGAATCAAAATATTAATCCCTAGTTGGCAAATATATATTCAAAGTACACGTAAAACTAAAGAGCATTACAATAATCAACAAGCTCTACTCTTCATCCCTTTTGCCTTTCCCTTTCTCCCTAGCAGAGCCTTCACTTTAAAATGTTAACCATAGGGTCGAGAACAATGTCTAAGGAACCAAATAAACCAATTCAATCACATGCAAGTTTAGAAAGTAAATGAGCATGCAAAATAGGCAATATAAACCAACTAACCTTGTTTATATAATACATATATCAATGCATGATCAATCACAACCTCCCTTATATCCTCTTATTACCTTTGACTAAGTCCATGGGATATTAATACAATCAAGGCTATGTCCATGTGACTGAACTAGCTCAAGCTCACCAATTTTGAGTGACCAAAGGATGTACGCTCACCTTCAGACCATAGATTTTCCCTTCTTGAATACCAGGGTGTCATATGCCCAACCCATACCCGATTAAGGGTGATAACAGGGCTATCATAATAATAAACTAAACATCAAGGCCTCCCACTTTGTCTAATCCTATAGGGTGAACTTCCACCCTTTTACACACTAATCATACCATAACAAGTATGTTATTCACAATGTGTTTCTGAACATATTCATTCTCAACATACAATCATTTAATTTACAACAATTTTCACCATCATATATTCACAACCATACATATCTTTCAAAATTTTCTAATCCACTTTACATATGATTTGAAAAGCAAAACTTAGCATTTATATACATATCAAAATATCACTTATTTCACAACAACACACATAAACAAACAAAAGCAAGATGAAGGAATTAGGTGACTTTTCTATAATATGATTTCCCATACATTAAGACTTTTAACATTATATGATTTTTCTTTATTTGTCACAATGCTAGAAATACTCTCAACAAGATAGCTTCAACTAATGTGAACTTTATATCTCTAATATTAATATAATCTTTGAGGCCATGCATTGACTAGACCATATTAAAAATAGAGTATTTTTTATTTTAATCGGGATGAATTTTTTTCTTTCACAAATCATGCATTGCATTTGTATGCTTTTTTTTTTAATAAATTATGTAGGAAGTATCACTTAAAAGTTCTATGCATTTGAAAAAAATAAAGCAAAATTCATTACCCAAATTTCAAGGCTTTATTACCTCTTTTTAACACTTCCCACTTGAAATACAAACAAAAGTAATTCAGCACCACCAAAATAATATTAAGAGAATCCAGATACATTTTATGCTTCGAAGCTCATTTGCAATATGTTTTTCTAATTGTTATGTTGCAGGAGATATTCCAAGTAGCATTGAAGACTTAACCATGTTGAAAGTGTTGCATCTTTCTCAAAATAATTTGGAAGGTACGCTTTCAGTAAATAATAGGTGGTCTTCATTATTTTCCCTTGATAAAATATTGCAATCATATAACAGTGCAACTTAGTTTTTAGTTTTTTTTTTTTTGGGTTTAGTTGTTGTATTGCAAGTTGCATTTCTAAAAGCAATTGGTGATGTCACAGGCAGTTTTTGTTTAAAATTTAACTTTTAATAAGCTCTTTGCTGCATATCAAAAGGCTTAGAAACATTACTATGCTTCAAGCAAGTGGGTTCACTTTAACACCTATAATTTATTTTTTTTAAAATCCCCACTGCATCATTGTTTTTGCCTTTTTGTACACGGTGTTAAAAAATATCATAGTATAAATGCAGTTTGAAAAAAATATATAACTAGATAGTAATTAAATTACAAATCTATAGAATATTCTATGTTCAGTATTTAAATCCTACTATAAAATAGGTGTGGCTTATACATCCAAGTTTTTTTAATTTTTTGGTTTTTATTTTTATAGGTTTTATTGGATTTTTTGTTCAAAAGAATAGGTTTTATTGGAATTTTCATATAATCTGAAAATATAGAAGGTATTTCTCCACAAGCCCTTTGTACACTTTTTTTATATTCTTTAACATATCTCTATATATTTTATTGAGCCTCCTAAACTTTTTTTTAATACTTCAATATTTTCTTGTACCTTTTAGTAAAGTTCAATACAAAGAAATAACATTTTTTCTTTTTTCAAAAAAATATTTATCTATCTCCAAACTCCAACAGACATTTTTTGTTGGTTTTTATGTTTTGTCAATATAAGTATGTATCTTTCCAATACCTATGATATACATCATGTGAAGAAAAATAAAAATAATAAAATGGTTATATTTTTGTCTCTAAATTCATCAAAAAACTGTCTCAAATTCAGTCTCTAAATTTATATAAAAAAAAGTGAAATCAACATAAGATAGATTTAGATATTACAAGTTTCGTCTCTAATATTTTTATTTTTTTTAAGTCAAACTTTGAGTGAAAAATGCTAGAATTTGAGATGGGTTTGAAGACAATTTTGTTTTTAGAAATGAGTATAATCTGTCTCTATGTTTTAAAATATTTTTTAAATTAAATCCATCTATAAAATTATAACAGTCTCTGATTCCATCTCTATTAGAGATTATATTTAGTTCTTCTCTATTTTAATAATTTTTTGTAGCGATATTGTCCTCTCAAATCTAAATTAGCCAATTTTCGTTATCATGTTGGAAGAGATATTTTAAGCAATCAATCATCTTACAAATCTTAAAATTATATGCTTAACTACATGTCTTTAACTTGTCTTGCCACATCATTGAAGAAGCATTGAAAACTTAAATATGCTTTCAATAAATCATAATGTTTTAGTGCTATATTGTTCAACTAGCTTTCATTGCTTGAGACAACGTCTCTAAACAACATGTTGTGATACTTTCTCGGTGCCTATTTATAAGAAACAATTGATAGTTTAATACTTTCAGCTCATATGTAACCAGGCCATATACCAAGAGGCATTGGAAACTTGACTATGCTCCAAGGGTTATATCTTGATGACAATAATTTTCAAGGTATTATCTTTAATCAAATTATGATATGCTAGTTACTATTTATGTGCTGCTTTTCATATACTTTACTGTAAGCAACATTGCATTTTTCTTCCTCTTTTGTTTTTGTTTTGTTTTGTTGTGTTTTTGTTTTGTCTTGTTTTGTTTTTTTGTGGGTTGTGTCCTACTCTTTTAGTGTCTTTTTTGGTTATGGCATCGTAGCATATGTTTCTAAACATGGTTTTCTGTACATCATCCCAAGGAACTATTTCTTTTTTCTTTATCATATGAATGGAGATATTTATAAAGAAATTTTGGTGATATTCGAAAATTATAAAAACATGAGCTCAGATGCTAATAAGCTTTCATCAATTATCTTTGATAATATGTGGAAGTTGAATTTTTTTTTATATCAGTGACAGTAATTTTTGAGGATGCAGGCCGCCAATTGTATCTCATGGATTTCCAAAATTTTAAAAAGAATGTTGTCTTTTCATTTCAATAAGTTATCTGGTTAGAAATTTAATGTGTCATCATTCGCCTTCAAATAGATTTTAGTAGATACAAACTGTATAAAATCTGTCTTCACAAAACGAACAACAATTGGATTTTTTTAAAAATTCTTATAGTTTTCAACAATTTAATATCTAAGGTCTATAATCCTTTATAAGTTATACCGTCACTTTTATAGATGCCATTGACTTTCAAATATTGTTTTAAGAAATTAAGAAATCAATCCGACAAACTTTTTTTTTCTCCAAATGCATTCCACAAACATTAGGTGTTGCTCAATTTTTTTTATTTTAATATAATACAGTTTTGAAAATAATATATATGCGATACATGCTTACCCTGCTACATATAATTATATGTTTATTTGATAAATATAAATGGTCTTTAATTTTAAATTAAATCTTTCATATTAATTTTTTTATACATTAGGATGGTTTGAACCCTTTGCCTCTACCTATACGACACCTGCCCGTACCACCTGGGCTAATTTTAGGTTTTTAATTGATTTAAATATTAGTTTTAAAGCGTTTATAAATCAAAATTTTAAAAATTAATTTACATTTCACACAAGCAATTTAAACGAGTGTTGTTTTGTTTGTTGGATGGAATTTAAGATTAGTCACACTGTCCAAACAAGGTTGGATTGATACCGTAGAACAAATAGGGAGAGGCCAAAAAAAAAAAAACTGCCTTGTTAAGCTATGAAGTAAAAATAAAATTTAGGTGGTTCATACTATTGACCCAGCATTAATGTGAGTATCATATATTTGTCTAATCAATCAGATATTTAAGGTTTGTTTGGTTTTGTTCTCATTTTTTGTTTTGTTTTGTTTTTTTTTTTTGTTTTTAGCCTTTGGAGTTCTCATCATAGGTCCATTTTTTGTTTTCAAAAACTATTTTATGAACCAATTTTTTAAAATAGTTTTAAAAACAAAACAAAATAAAATATGTTCGATTTTGTTAATTTGAAAACAATTTCAGAGTAAAAAAAATGGCTGGTAGATGGTTGCTAATGGTTAATGATGATGGTCTATAATAGCAGTTGATTATAGCTGAAGGTACTTTATAATATAGTCAAATGTAGTATGCTTTATAAATAAAAAATAAAAACTGAAAATAGCTCTAAGATGTTTCCTTTCTTAATTTTAAAAACAAAAAAAAAGAGAATAGTTTTGAAAACATTTAAATCCAAAATATCTATCCAAACAAATTTTTTTATTTTAAAAAATAGAATCAATTTTTGAATACATAAATCAAATAGACCCTTATATTTTCTTTTTCCTTTATTTTAGTGTTAACTTAAACTTACTTTGCATAAATTTAAAATAGTGTTTTTAATTTCAGGTTTAATACCTGCAGAAATAGGAAATCTTTATAAGCTTGAGCAGCTAGTGTTGGGGGATAACAAATTGAGTGGATCTATTCCATTGGAAATTTTTAATATATCAACTTTGCAAGCGTTGGATCTTTCAAATAATTCTTTATCAGGTAACCTTCCATCAGATTTTGGATGTGGCCTTCCTAATCTAGAAGAGCTATATTTATGGAGCAACAAACTTTTTGGGATAATGCCAGATACTATTTCCAATGCCTCTAAGCTGACCATTCTAGCATTGACAGAAAACAATTTCAAAGGAGTTTTACCAAGCACACTTGGGGATTTAAGATACTTGAAAAAACTTGGAATAGAGGGTAATAGTTTCACCACATCAGATGCTTCCAATTCTAAAACCAACTTGATTACCTCATTGACTAATTGTAGACATTTGGAATTTTTGTTCCTCTCAGCAAATCCATTTTTTATAAAACTTCCCAAGTCCATTGGAAACTTTTCTGATTCTCTACAGGAGTTGGACATTGTTTCTTGTGGTATCAATGGTAACATACCATCAGAAATAGGGAATCTTACTAATTTGATTAAACTATCTTTGGATGAAAATGTTTTGAATGGACCAATCCCAATAACAATTAGCAACTTACAAGCTCTGCAGTATTTGAGTCTCGAAGGCAATGACTTGCATGGCTTAATTGTTCATGACCTTTGTGAAATCAAACCACTTGGTTATTTACATCTAAGCCGAAACAAGTTTTCTGGAGCAATGACACCTTGTTTAGGAAATCTTTCTTCTTTAAGAGAACTTCACTTGGGCTCAAATAAGATGGCTTTAGAGATACCATCATCCTTTTGGAATTTGAAAGACATACTGGAAGTAAACTTGTCTTCCAACCATTTTGTTGGGAATCTTTCATCAAGGGTTGAGAACTTAAAAGCTCTTTCTTTATTAGATTTATCTCAAAATCATATTTCAAGCAGCATTCCAACAACTATGGGCAGTTTGCAAAATCTGCAAATTCTCTCTCTTGCACATAACAAATTGGAAGGATCTATTCCTAGATCACTTGGGAATTTGCTAAATTTAGAAAATTTAGACCTTTCCCAAAATAATTTGTCTGGGAAGATTCCTAAATCTTTGGAGTTACTTATTGATCTTAAGTATGTCAATCTCTCTTTTAACAAACTCCAAGGAGAGATTCCAGATAGAGGTGTTTTTAAAAATTTGACTCCTGAATCTTTTATGATGAATCTAGCTCTCTGTGGTCTGCCACAACTCCAAGTGCCTCCATGCAAAAAAGAAACAGGAGAAAGATCAATGACAAAATTTCTTTTATTGAAATGCATACTACCCATAGTTGTGTCAATAATTTTGGTTGTTTTAGGCATTATCCTTTTAAGGCTTAAACGAAAAAATTCAAGGTGTCTAGCTGAAAGGGATTTATCAACTTTAGGAATGCCAAGAAGGATTTCTTATTTTGAAATCCTAGAAGCAACCAATGGATTTGATGAGAGCAACATACTTGGAAGAGGTAGTTATGGTACTGTTTTCAAAGGAAAGCTTTCTAGTGGAATGGTTGTTGCAGTTAAGATATTCAATTTTGATTCGCAAGTAATGGTAGCAAGCTTTGAAAAAGAATGTGACATACTGCGTAATGTGCGCCATCGCAATCTAGTGAAGGTTATAAGTTGTTGTTCTAATGTTGATTTCAAATCTTTAGTAATGGAGTTCATGCCCAATGGGAGCCTTGAAAAATGGTTATATTCTCACAACTATTTTTTAGGTTTTCTTCAAAGGTTGGATATAATGATAAATGTAGCATTTGCTTTGGAGTATCTCCATCATGGCTTGCTAGCACCAATTATCCACTGCGATTTAAAGCCAAGTAACATTTTATTGGATGATGAAATGATTGCTCATGTGAGCGACTTTGGAATTTCCAAACTTTTAAATGAAGGGGAATCTAAAACATACACAGAGACTATACATACAATTGGCTATATGGCACCTGGTAATTATTCTAAACATAGTGCCTCATTTTTTCTTTTATAGCTGTATTCTAACAATATTTATCTTAACATATTATATTCACAAAAGCTTATTACATGTATTGTAGCAATATTATATAAAATTAGTGCATGACAAATTAATTAATATTTATGGTAAATACTACATGTGTTCTTAAAACACATTAAGGTTCTTGATTTGATTCATATAAATATGAAGTTTAATTGATGAATTACAATTTATCATAGTTATCTATTGCTAAAACTTAGTCCCTCAATTATTATAAAGAGAGAAATGTTCTTGGACATTTCTTTCTAATTTTTCCATGAAATAGAAGATGAAGAGGTTTCCTATCTTATCAAATTTTCAATCGTTGAACTAAGTTAGTTAAATTTGATCTTTCTATATGTATATTAATTTTTTAAACTAATTTATTTTAGAACATTAAAATGAAGATGTATTCTAAAATACGTGTGTGTGGGGTGTGTAGAAGTGGATGTATGTGCATGCATTAAAATAGTTTTATTTGTTTCTTCTACATGAACATTCTTTTGCATATCATCATCGTAAAGTTTTCTATACCTATCTCTTAGGTTAACAAAAATATGCATCTGAAAAAAATATATTATCATAAATTCAAAGACATGATGTTAATAAGAAATCATAATTAAAGACAACCACTAGGAAGTGCAACATAAACTTTTTTCTCAATTGTAAATGAATGTTGTCTTATTCAGTTATTAGTTAAATTTTATTACTTGAATTCAATTATATACAGAGTATGGATCTTCTGGAGTTGTTTCAACAAAAATAGATGTGTATAGCTATGGAATTATGCTATTGGAGGTGTTTACAAGAAAAAGGCCCACAGAAGATATATTTGTCTCTGCATTGAGCTTGAAGAGCTGGGTAAGTGAGTCAATGCCACATGCAATAATTCAAGTCATGGATTCCAATTTATTGCAAGGAGTTCATGAACATCATATAAACAATATATTGACATCTACATTCTCCATTCTTGAATTGGCCTTAAATTGTTGCACCGATCTTCCAGAAGCACGTGGCAATATGATTGATGTTGCAGCATCATTGAACAAGATCAAGGCCATGTTTTTGCATAAGCGCCATGTTTAAATAAGGATTAACTCTCTTATAATTTGTATTGTTATTTGTTCTTCCTTTTTTATTACCCACTTTCAGAATATGTTCGACTCTTTACTTACTATATATGTGCATTTTTTTCCCAAGCATAAAAGACAAGATATTAGTTATAATAATTTTTGCATTACATTGTCTGTCAACCTTTTTGATCAATTAATGATATATAGTATATACAAATAAATTTCTCAAGTGGGTGTCCAATAACCCAACCAATTATATAAGTTCTTTTTGTTAACTGGTAATCACTTTTCATTGTGACACGCCACCTTTGTAGAAACTTACAAGAGAGCTTACGTGCCATTAGGCTATAAAGCCATTGGTAGAAAATATTAAAAGTTAACTAGATCAATTGTTTGAAAGTTTTAGTAATTTGTAACTATGTTGTATTTGATATTAATTTATTATGACTTGCCTTCTCTACTTTTTAACAAGCAATATTGAAAATTAATTTCTATAGGTTAAAGGACATTTGCGTCCTTCAACTATATTTGTGCAGAAATATATGGTATATTAGATTTTTTTATGGTGCAATGTTCTACTTAAATAATTGAAAATAGTGCAATATTGTATTTATGGTTAAGACATATTAACTTCGTTTGTTGAACTAGGAAATTCAAAATACAATACCATGTAAGTGAGTTCTTTATTGGAAATTATATGGACAGTTCAAGTTTTACCAAAGACTATTATTGTGCCATTATATTAATGTCTTAGATATTTTTTTTTCCTTTGGTCACATCAATGAGTTGTAAAATAAGTGATTATCAAATCACCAATGCTAGCAACAACACAAATAATCAAATGGTAGTTAGTCAAAATAGTTGGTTGAAATGATATTTTCACATTTTATATGGATAAAAACAAATATTAGTCTATTGGAATTTATTTGTAATGTAAGGGTTTTTGTTGATGTTAATTTTCTTATAAATTCCCTTTTCTATAAATTTTGGGTCATTTTCTATAATTTTTTAGGTCATTTTCCATAATTTTTTGTGTTAACCAACAATCAAATTAATGGATATTTAACAGATGTGATATTACTCTGTTTTTAATACATGAAGCACAATATTGTCCCACCCTTGATTTCAAGGTGCTCAATGCCCTTGAAAAAAGTTTAGGGGTAAATTAACCTTAATTTCTTAAGGTGAATGATGAATTATAAACTAGTTTACATGTTTGTAGTATAGCCCAATGGCCTTGGCCTTGTCAGAATGGCTAGCCCAATAGCTTTGGGCTTATTCTTGCACACATAGTGCGAGTTTTCAAATGGCATAATAACGTAGATATATATGTATATATATATATATTTTTTTGGGTTAGGATTTGAATATGCCTAACAATTATTATTATAAATTTGATTTTATAATTAGATAAAAATAACTGTGGTGTTACTTAAAAAATTAGCCCAAGTTTAATTAAGAATGATCAATGATCTATTTTTAGGCACAAGGATATCAACAACTAATAATAATTATTATTCTTATTATTTTTTACATGAGGAAACGCCACCTCACGGTTTCAATTTATTTTTATTTCATAGTGAATTATTTTATTTAAAGATGTATTGTTTCAATAATTATTTTACAATAAATATAATATTTAATCAATCTTAGGTGGCATTTACTTCAGGGTCTTAATTTATTTTTATTTGATGGTTAATTATTTTATTTTAATATTTATTTTTTTCAAATATTATGTTATGATAAATCTAATATTTAATAAATATTTTATTTTATTGATCTTAGGTGGCGTTTCTTGGTTGAGAAAATGCCACCTAATTGTTTTCATTTATTTTATTTAATGATATAATTTTCAATAATTATTTTATAATTAATATAATAACTAATGTTATTTTAAAATATATAATTATTAAATGCTATTTATTAAATATAAAAAATTAAAAAGTATTTAAATGAGAGAGGTGGTATTTGTAAATGATAGAAAACCACCTCTCTCTTGTAAATTAAATTATTTAATATTTTTTAAATTATATAATTATTTAATAGTATTTATTAAATATGAAATATTAAAAATTATTTAAATGAGAGAGGTGGCATTTCCACATGATATAAATGCCACCTCTCTCTTATAAATTAAATTCTTTATTAATTAATGGTATTTTTAAAATATATAATTATTAAATATCATTTATTACCTAGGTAATGGAAACGCCACCTCTCCAAAATTAAATATGTTATTAATTAGCTTAATTTTCAAAAAAAATTAGAGAGGTGCCACCACTGCTATTTTTTAAATTATTTTTTAAAATTGAAGATAGTTTTTCAATTATATACTATGACACTTCTTGGAATTTCTAAACCCTAATCTCCTCATCCTAATCGTTCTCTCCCTCCAATTGCTTGCTCTTCTCTCTTGCAACCCATGAGTTATCTGTTTTCTAATTGTTGAAGTTGCTCTCTTTGTCTTCCCTAGCCAAGGTTGATTGTACTAGTACACTAATAACAGGTTCCTTTTTTCATTTTTCTTACCTTTTATCTACCTATCCATATATATATATATATATGGATCTTCATGATTCTGCTTTTGTTTATCTTTAGTTGATAATTTTTATTTCCACTCTTGAAGGGTTTGTTCTTTTAATTTGCTAACATGCATATCTATTGATGAAACAATTTTTTAGGTATAAAGCTTTATTAAGATCTGGGGAACAGATAGGGGATCTTCAATCGTCATGCTTTTAGTGACCAATGGCTTGGTTTTGTCAAGTTTTGGACTTTCAAGGAGCTAAGGATGATAATCTCTGTTAATTATTGAGGAAGAAACTTGTTTGTAATTTGGAATTTGCCCCATTTTTTCTAGTATGTATTAGTTCAATGTTGAAAGACAACCAAAACTTGTATGGCCACAAGGACGTATTAAAGGAATATTAAAATATATAATAAATTGAATAAAAGGAGTCGGATAAGAGTCTTACTAGATTCAGGCGTAGAAGAATCTATCTCGACTACTCACACAAGTTTAGACTGTTAGAATCTATACTATAGTGCACAGCAGATGTACCAAAGAGAAAGAGAGAGAGAGGAAGAGTAAACTAGAGAATTGTTTGCTCTGGGATGGATTCTACCTCCAGCATCTTATCACTATTTATAGTGAAGAGAGGCCTCCGTATAAAAGGAAGATCCAATCAGTATTAATTCACCTCATTGTAGAGGAAATATATTGATTGAAATAATCACAATTAAGACAGAGGATCATACATTAATATCAAATTCTACTAAACTCATCATGACTAGAGTTATAACTCATCATGGGCAGAAATTAATTCAAAATTCTAACATGTATGTTGGGGGTGGGCCCCCCAAAATTTGATTGGTCCTTTAAATAATTTTGGGAATTTTTTATTTTACTTGAGAAAAATGTGAAAATTAGTGTTAGACCCATATTTTAAGCAGTTTTCATTTTGCCCCCATATGTTCTTTTCTAGATTCGTCCCGGTGTGGCTAGATGATAGCTTATCTTTTCTTTATAGATTGTATAAATTGTTTTAGTTACTCTGTATTTAATTTTTACCAACATGCACGTGCATTTCTTTGACTTTATAGATGTAAATAATAGATTGAGTTTCTTGTTGATTAATGAAGACAGTGTGTTTTGGCTTTCAGTTAAAGAGATTAATATTCCTGTGATCAATTAGTTGTCTAAAACTACTATTACACAAAATTGCAGAAGTTATTTTGGAGACAAACAAGTTTTAAATTTTGTGGAGTAGACAAGTATATAATGATTCATGTAAGCATATACAATTTTTGTTTTACCAGACATAATTAAAATTGATGACTTGCTAAATGTGTTGAAAACTTGTGTATCTTGTGGGACCACATAAAGATGAAATTTTCAGGCACTTTGATGTTTCTTTACATTAGTAATAAATTTTTTAAATTTAATTTTTATTTATTTTCGTTGTAGGTATTGTTTTTTGCAATAATGTTGCAAAAATTGCTGGTAAACCTCATTATATCTATTAGCTAATATCTAATTTATCCTTTTCTTTATCCTTAGTTTTTTGTATAGTGTGAAATTGATTATTTATTTTTAACTGTATGAATAAAGTTTATTGTATAAATTAATTGTTTATTTACTAATAAATATTATGTATATGAATTGATGGATATATAAGATATTATATATATATATATATTAAAAAGTAGTGCTTTCTAATTTTTTTTTAAAGTAAAAGGCCTTTTATTTTTTAAAAAGTAAGTAGAGAGGTAGCATTTCATTAAGAAAATGCCACCACTGTTGCTAACTTCTTGCGGGGTTTAATGAAATGTCATCTAAGATTTAAGATAACATTAAATCTTATTGCATTTTATAAATATCATAAAACTAAAATTTTAAATGCCATCAAAGTCCATTTCTGTAGCAGTGTAATTTAAATTTAAATATCCATTTATTTTGAGCCTATTACGTAATGAAAAAACATTAAGGTTTGTAAATGCAATAAATTCTGAGTGATCATGAAATTTTATGAAAAGGATGATAAAATCCCTTCTCCAAATTCCTTACAAATATAACTGGTGGAATATAATAAAATTTTAGATAATGCTATAATGGTCTCCATATTTTTCTGCGTGGATACATAATTTTGAAGTCTAAGTTAATCCATGTGCCTGGAGAAAATGGCACAATAATAAAAGTATTGGAAGCAAAATAATTTATATATAAATATATAAGTCATTTCATTTTGAAATTTGAACATTATGTCTGCTTAAAGGACTCAACCCATTACTAAAGCCAACAAAAAAAAGAAGTCACTAATGGTGGCAATTTATCTTACTATAGTCGGTGTTCATATTTTTCTTTGCTCAAACCTGCTCAATTACTCATTTATTAAAAGAACTGACACAATAATGGGGATTTTGTTTTTGGCTTTGCAGTATGTTCTATGTTAGAAATTGAATAGTCAGTGTATATTATTTTTGTTGAGTTCAACTATTTAAAATGTGATTTTA